TCTCTTTCTTTCTCTCTTTCTCTTTCTCTCTCACACACACACATACATACCTTTGTATATACATACTGTGGAACCTCCACTAGCGAGTTTAATCCGTTCCATGACCTTGCTTGCATCTGGATTTACTCATTTCCAGAATCAATTTTCCTCATCTAAATTGAATTCACTTTAAATTAATTTGAAAGCATGTAAAATAAAACGTAGATCTACATTCGGGGCACTTCACATGAACGTAGAGCTACGTTTGGATAGTTTAAGGGTTAATATTGTTCCCAGTGTCCGCTTAAAAAAAATATCTGAAATAGTAGAGAATTTTTTTCTGAGGGTGACACCATAAGTGTGATATTTTATGGAAAATTAAGGAATTGTGCAGGTGCAAAGTTTGTAGTGTGGGTGCAGTTTTAAGTCAATTTCATTGGTTCATTCAGCCAAAATTAAAATTACCAATTTAAAAATAGTGCACTAAAGCATTTCTTCTGTTCATTAATCACATTCCCAGGCCTCTTGTGTATTACACTTGCCTTCCATTTTGATTTCATAATCTTAAAAAAAATAAGCATTTACTCTATTTCCCAGATAAAATATAACCAGGAATGATCCGACATGGTGTACAGCATCCCAATAATTGAATCAGTCCTATTAAAATCCCATAAAACAGACTGGGGGGTGTAAGAGGGCCTTTCCCTTCCTCAGGCAATTTGACAAACATTAAATGTTTCTGCTACTTTAAGCTACTTCTGATCCTGAAAGAAACCAAAATCAACTTTATTTCACCAGTATGTCTTCCATTTTGTCAAATGATACCAAGAAACAGCCAGTAAAACCATCCTAGAAAATAGGTTGGTTACTGTGTATTTTAAACCAAACACATGGGTCAGTTTTGCTTTTCCCATCATGCTCTGTGGGGCAGGATTTTTTTTTTCATACTCTGTACACATGCTGCACAGACCCATTCTCTCATATCCAGGCCAGAATTTGTTGCTCAGCAAATCTAAGTGAGCTGAGTTCATGAAGGGATAAGTCTCCTAGGCTCTGATAGGTTAACTTATGGTGGATGAAAAATGTCAGTACCCTCTGACACCTGTTTAATGGCCCCCTGAGATTTTGGGGTTAGAGGACACAACCATGCCACAAAGCATGGCTTAACGAGCTAAATGTTCTATATCGGATTTAAGTCCAGAGAGTTTCCAGGCCTGTCTTTAAATTATGAAAAATTTAGATAATTCTTGGCCTTTGTCAGTATGGCAAGGGGCACCATCTTCCCCAAAAAATGTTGTCCTGGCACTTCTCAACACTCGGGCAAATTCTGTAGTCTGCTTAGCCTGCTAATGGCGTGCTAATGAGCATTCATATTTGTGTCTACTGTGTAATATATATGTCGTGTCGAATAGGTATAACTTGCGATTTTGGCTTAAATAGCAACGCCCTTCTTGCTGAATGAGACAAACGAAAATTTGTGTATGCAAATAATTTCACAAAAATCATTCTGAACCCAACGAAAAAATATATTTCATTGTATGTTTATTATTAAATTATTGTAAACTTATCTAAAATATGTTTAGTTGGATTAGGCTAAATTAAATTGCACTTGTTACAACAAGATTAGGTAAATTTTCTAAGTTTTTTGGTACAAAATTATTAATTTTTATGTTAACATAAATGAAAAATACATATCTAAATGTACAAGAGAAAATTTTAGAAAAGACTTAATTTTAAATGAGTTCTTGCTAATTGACTAATTTTACCTATTCGGCACAAAATAAGTAAATATGTATTTATTTATTTGACCGATAGCTCTAATGTCTCGCATCATACAAATCTTTGAAAGGGTTCTAAGAAGCATGATATCCAACCCACCTGGAATCCCAACAATTGCACAATCCAGGACATCATGGGTTCAGAGCAGATTACTCCTTCCTCTTAACTTCTGGACCAGTGTGACATGGTCTTAGATGCACTAGAGAACAAGCAGAATGCAGATGTACACAAAGACTTTGTAAAAGTCTTCGACAAGTGTGATCATGGTATAATAGCACACAAAATGCTTACTATGGGGAAAACTGGAAAAGTGGGCAGATGAATCTTTAACCATCTATCCAAGAGAACACAAAGAACAATAATAAACAAGAGCCTGGTCAGGTTACCACATACAACCAGAAGTATTAACAAAAAAAAAAAAAAAAAATTTTTTTTACCTTAGAGATAGATTTACAAAAGAATGAACATTCATCATGACACTTACCTTTATTGGTGGATGGAAGACAGGGAGGAGGGGAGAGGGAAGAGAGGTTATTCTCTGGAAGGGGAATCCCCCTCCATTAGGACTCTGGGTACCAAGTCCTTATCTGGGGTCACTTCCCTTTGTTTTTTAATGCCACAAATCTTTCCATCCTACTCCACATTGCACAGATCTCCATCACTACCACCCTCTATCACCATAACTAAAACCTTCTACCACCATCACTACCACCTTCTACCACCATCACTACCACCTTCTACCACCTTCTACCACCATCACTACCACCTTCTACCACTATCACTATCACCCACTACCACCATCACAACCACTACCACCCTCTGCCACCACCACCCTGTGCCACCACCACCACCCTCTGCCGCCACCACCACCACCCTCTACCACTATCACTACCACCACCACTCGTATTTTTCTACAATCTTTTTCTTTAATTCTATCGTGTTTGTCACCTTCTTTACCAAAGGGCTGGCACTAGCTTTTTTGGGCCCATGGTGGCTTATTCAGCAGTTCCAAGCACTAAAATGAATGGAATATTACAAAATGTATCATATGAATTCGGGGGATCGTGCTCACTTGCTGATAAACAATGGGACATTGTGGCTGCATCGGGGCTGCTCGTCCGCGTCTGGGACGAACGACTTTTTTGCGAGTCAAACAACGATTCGTGAGTCAATATTTTGACAAAAAAAAAATTAAGATTTTCAAAAATTACGACTTCTGATGCTTACGAAAAGTAAGGGTCCACTGTACTCCATTATGGAAAGCTTGAGGAATTAAAAGCTAGAATGGGATATAAGACAAATTCTAACCACACAATAGAGTGAAAAACTAATGTGAAGTGAATTAGATTCACTTATAATTAATAGAACTACTGTACAACTATGATAAATTTCTTTAGTGTTAAGTAGTCAGTAAGCCAATAAATTAAGTCGGCCCATAATGCCTAGGCATAATAGAGGCTCTTTGCATTGCAGCCTATTATTGTAAATAATCTCAATGTACTACTTGCAAAGAAATAAATTTGAATTTGAAATTCAGAGGATCTTGCCTTCAGTGTCGTTATCTTCCCTTATCCCTCCCTCTCTCCTCCCTTCTTTCCCTGTTATCCTCTCTCCTCTCCCCCCTCTCTCCTCTCCCCCTCTCCTCTCCCCCCTCTCTCCTCTCCTCCCTCTCTCCTCTCCCCCCTCTCTCCCCCTCTCTCCTCTCCCCCCTCTCTCCTCTCCCCCCTCTCTCCTCTCCCCCCTCTCCTCTCCCCCTCTCCCCCCTCTCTCCTCTCCCCCTCTCTCCTCTCCCCCTCTCTCTTCTCCCCCTCTCTCTTCTCCCCCCTCTCTCTCTCCCCCCTCTCTCCTCTCCCCTCTCTCCTCTCCCCCCTCTCTCCTCTCCCCCCTCTTCCTCTCCCCCCTCTCTCCTCTCCCCCCTCTCTCCTCTCTCCTCTCCCCTCTCTCTCCTCTCCCCTCTCTCTCCTCTCCCCTCTCTCTCCTCTCTCTCCTCTCTCTCCTCTCCCCTCCTCCCCCCTCTCCCCCTCTCTCCCCCCTCTCTCCCTCCCCCTCTCTCCTCTCCCTCCTCTCTCCTCTCCCCCCTCTCTCCTCTCCCCCTCTCTCCTCTCCCCCTCTCTCCTCTCTCCCCCTCTCCTCTCCCCTCTCTCTCCTCTCCCCCCTCCTCTCTCCTCTCCCCCCTCCTCTCCCTCTCCCCCCTCCTCTCTCCCTCTCCCCTTTCTCTCCCTTCTCCCTCTCTTCTCTCCCCCTCTTTCACCCCCTCTCTCTCCTCTTCCCTTTACCCTTCTGCTCTCTCTCCTCTTCCTCTTTCCCCTGTCTCTCCTTCCCTTCCTGCTCATTTCACCCTCCTCTTTCCCTTCGGCCCCTCCCTCTATTATTTTCTCCCTTCTACTTTATATTTTTTCCTTGTTTTCTCTCTCTTCTCTTTTAATCTCCACACTCTTCACTCCTTCCTTCTTCAATTCTGATGGACAATTCTACATTGAATCCAGAAACTATATATAATCACTTTGTCAAAGTTGTTCAGATTATTTAGTTCTGTATTTTGCTATTGTAAGTTGTTAGTAATTTATTGTAAGTAAAATATTTAACACTTATTATTTTATATATTTTCAATGCAAGGAGTGTTGGTAACATTGGGTAGTGTGTACTTCACACTTGTGCATCAAGAGTTGCCAATGTGTGTGTAACTGCTGTTGTTGGCTATGTTAGTGTAATACTCTACTTCACTCACAAGAATTAGTGTTCATCATTAAACAGACTTGTGTAAATTACTTTAGTTTTTATAATAACTTAGACATTGAAAACTTGAAAATGGATGTTGTTAATTGTCTAATTATAATACTGAGTTGTGCTGAATCCATGATCTGGTTAATATTATAGCTCCCCATATTGTAGAGTAGAAAGGAATGGAGATTTGAAAGTGTTTGTCAAAATTTGCTTTAATTAATTAAATAGTCACGTTACTTGTTCCATACATTAAAAACAATGAAAATGGGGAAGTGAAATGACTGGTGAATATTCATTTTATTTTAAGGAGTGAAAACTGACTTCAAAAATCACCTGGTAAAGCAAGTTTGTGAAGTAAAAGCAAACTTTATTCCTTAGGTGACATGTTGAGAGCAATTTGTACCTCATCTAGCTACTAAAAGTTAGCCTCAGACTTAACAGGGAAGTATCCGAGTTGATAATTTAAAATACTACATATTTACTAAATGTGTGTTAATTTTGGCTTTTCTTTTCTGCAGATTGAGAAGATGAGTTTGACAGTTGAAGCTTCAAAGCTTCTAGATTTCAATCAGAAGCTGGACATACCTCTTTTGGACAATGTCATTGGTTTCATGTATAATGGGATTGGTGAACAGGTATTGCTCAATTGTTTCTATTCCTTAAACACATTTGTAAATTCCAAAACAGTTGAATTGAATTTTAGGGTAAATATTTAAATGTGTGATCAGTTATTACCCTTGAATGTGTGTGACTGAAGTATTAATTGTATTTCTTCTTATTACAGCAACGGATAGCACAAGAAGTGCTGACAACTTTAAAAGAGCATCCTGATGCTTGGACTCGTGTAGATGCCATTCTGGAATATTCACAAAACCAACAGACTAAGTACTATGCACTTCAGATCCTTGAACAAGTAATCAACACAAGATGGAAGGTCTTGCCACGAGATCAATGTGAAGGTAAGTTGTTTCAGTTTCAAGAGTGTTGGCAATTTGAAATATTACAGTGTCCTCAATTTTATCATGTGTGCATTGACCTGGAGACATATATACAGTACAGTAGGGCCCCACTTATACGGCAGGTTAGGTGCCAGACTACCGCCGGAAACCAGATATCGCCGGAAAGCAGAACACCATTCTTTCCACCTATAAATGCATACAAATCCCAGATAACAAGTTTACACTAACATACATTAAGTTAGCAATAAAACTTGGAATTAAAAAGCAATAAAAAGTAAAATACACACAGTACACTCATTAGTTACCTCAGAATATTTGTAGTCTTAATGGAGAATGAGAGGTAAATAGTATTTATTATAAGATGTCAGGTATGGTAGCTGCCCTGGCCAACCCACCCTAGTGAGATAAAATACATATGCAGTACACTCATTACTTACTTTAAAATATTTGTAGTCTTAATGTGGGGTGAGGTGAGTAAACTATATAAAAACGAATATACAAGAGAGAGAATGAGTAAATGAGAGAGGACAAAGCTGCAGAGTATGTAAACAGATGAATGCATCTGATTTTGGTTGATACATTTATTTCCATGTCTGTGAATCTTATACCGTAATACAAACACTCCCATTCTCATGTAACACACCATTTTTAGAAGGAATAATGCTCTGAGTGAAGGCATTCGATAGGAATAATTTTCTACAGTTACCCCCAGTAATACTATTGTCTACATATTTTCTTTGGTGTTGAACTAGAGAAAATGTTATTCTTTCCAACACTTCAACAAGACAACTGGAAAAACATCTCATATTTATATTAATTTATTCTACTCTGGGTGTACAGTGGAACCTCGGTTTTCATCATTAATTCGTTGCAGAAAGTCTCTCAAAAACCAAATTCGAAGAAAACTGTTGCATATTTTCCATAAGAAATAATGTAAATCCAGTTAATAAGTTAAGATTTTCTTCGGATTTTTAACCCCGGAGGGTTAGCCACCCAGGATAACCCAAGAAAGTCATTGCGTCATTGAGGACTGTCTAACTTATATCCATTGAGGTCCTCAATTTTGTCCCCCAGGATGCTACCCACACCAATCGACTAACACCCAGGTACCTATTTGCTGCCAGGTGAACACGACAAAAGGTGTATGGAAACGCATTGAAATGTTTCCACCCGCCGGGAATCGAACCCGGGCCCTCCATGTGTGAAGTGTGAGCTTTAGCCACCAGACCACCGAGGCCCCCGCCATGCCACCGGGGCCCCCAGTGTTAACAAAAAAATACATTTTAAAGAGAATAACTATAGTTTTACATACAGAAAACAATGTTAAATAAATATAAAGCACTAACTTTAATGGATAAATGAACATTTAAATCAGTTTTATCTTTATTGAAGACTTGTTGATGTATGGAAGATGGTGAGGAGGGGAGAGGGAGGAAAGGTTATCTCTACCACCATCACTACCAAACTCTACTGACAAGGAACAAAGCCAGACTAACTAAGAACATGTGGGCGTGGGCGGACATGTTCGGTACTGTGGACCACTGTCAACTCGCCGAAAACCAAGGTGAATGAAACTGGGACAAAAACTTGATGAAAAATTGTCGAAAACCGAATTCGACAAAAACCAGGGCAAACTAAAACTGAGGCTCCACTGTATCGTGTTTGTTACGTAGTGTGTATATAATTTTGAAAAATATCATAGATGGATTAATCAAAATGTCTACATTGGCGTGATATATGACAATTAATGCACCTCAGAGTGATTATTATTATTTTTTTTTTCAACTAGTCTGGCGTCTCCCACTGAGGCAGGGTGACCCAAAAAGAAAGAAAATCCCCAAAAAGAAAATACTTTCATCATCATTCAACACTTTCAGTTCACTCATACATAATCATTGTCTTTGCAGAGACACTCAGATATGACAGTTTAAAAGTCCCACCAAACTGTCAATATCCCAGACCCCTCCTTTAAAGTGCAGGCATTGTACTTCCCATTTCCAGGACTCTAGTCCAGCTAAATCTGTAATAACTGGTTTCCCTGAATTCCTTCACTAAACATTACCCTGCTCACACTTCAAGTCCCAAAAACCATTAGTCTCCACTTACTCCTATCTAACACGCTCACATTGCTTGCTGGAAGTCCAAGCCCCTCGCCTACAAAACCACCTTTACCCCCTCCTTCCAACCATTTCAAGGACTACCCTTACCCCTCATTCCTTCCCCTACAGATTTATACACTCTCCAAGTCATTCTCTCCAAATGGCCAAACCACCTCAACAGCCCCTCTTCAGCCCTCTGACTAATACTTTTAATAATTCCACACCTCCTAATTTCCACACTCTGAATTCTCTGCATAATATTTACATCACAGTACATCTCCACTGTCTCCAACCGCCTCCTCGCTGCAGCATTTGCATCTCAAGCTTCACACCCATATAAGAGTGTTGGTACTACTATACTTTCATACATTCTTTTCTTTGTCTCGGATAACGTTTTTTTTGTCTCCACAGATACCTCAACGCACCACTCGCCTTTTTTCCTTCAATTCTGTGGTTAACCTCATCCTTCATAAACCCATCTGCTGACAAGTCAACTCCCAAATATCTGAAAACGTTCACTTCTTCCATACTCTTTCTCCAGTGTGATATCCAATTTTTCTTTATCTAGATCATTTGATACCCTCATCACCTTACTCTTATCTATGCTCACTTTGAACTTTCATTATTAATATGACATCTTCAAGACTAATAAGACACTCTTAGTGAGTTTAACGTGTACTTGCACGCCCGCAGTGTAAGTTTATTTAGGTATAGGTACACATGAGTATAATTATCATAGTATATATAAAATATATACATATGTACGTACAGTGGACCCTCCGTTTTCAAGTGTTCCGGAAATTGAGTAATTCGGATTTAGAGCACTTTTTTCAGTGAAATTTCATCCCGGATTTAGAGCATCCGCTCGGAAATCGAGTGTTTGAGATGCATCCACCCTGTTGGGGATGCCATTTCCTCACACGTATCACACTCAGTCTGCGTCTGTCTCTCATTGAGTAAGGAATACTCTGCACATTCATCCATTCATCTGTTCATTTTGGTGCTTGTTTATTGGTTGTAACTGTGAAATAACCCACCATGAAGCCAAAGAAAGTTGAGAGTGCCAACCCTTCAGTAAAGAAAGTGAGAAACATGAGGGGGATTCCCATTCCAAGTGATAAATCCTCCCTGTCTTCCATACGAGGGTCCACTGTATAGAAAATTTGGCAGTGATTATGTATGAGTGATGGTGAAGGTGGGAAACAGCCTACATGTTACAAAAAAAATCATATAAAATATGGATTAACTTTAACCCCTTCCAGGTTCATACCCTTGATCTGAAATTTATCCACAAGGGTCCAAGAATTTTAAATTTTTTTATTGTTTCTTATGAAATGGAAGAGAATCTTTATCTGAAGGGAATAAAACTACAAGTACAAAAGTTGATGGAAAATTGATGAAATTACACTCTCATGAATTTTGCTGCATCAGCGATATTTAGGCATTGGCGATTTAGCCCACTTTGACTCCCACTTTAGGCCAATTACATTATTCCAGTCAACCAAATTCTTAGCTATTTTGCTAGTATTACTTCTATTTTATCGATTGAGCACAAGCAATCACCCAGTCAGCTATTTCAACGACCCAATAAAAATTTAGCTAATTTGACACACAGTTCAGAATATTCCAGTTGCAATATAGAGTTCAGAATAAACAATGTAGGCATTCCTTGCACTAAAATAACAGCCCCACTGTTTATTAGTTATGTTTCCAGGCTATACAAATGAATTCCATTTTGATTTTTTATTCATATAATGAATTTTTATTTGCACCAAAAAAATTGTAATAATTGTATAAATAATATCAGTGCATTCGTGAACACACATTAGACCCACCAGTTGACGTGTATTGGACGTTTGACATGATTTGAGAACATAAGAAAGAAGGAACACTACAGCAGGCCTACTAGCCCATGTGGGGCAGGTCCATGTCAACCCCCGGCTTAGACCAATGGCCCACCCAGTCATATCACCTCCACTTAAGGAAGGAGCACGGCTTCTGACCCAGTAGCACCAGCTAGTCAGGTCCAACTCACACCTACCCACACCCACTCATGTATTTATCTTACCTATTTTTAAAACTACACGACGTCTTGGCTTCTATGACGGTACTTGGGAGTTTGTTCCACTCATCCACAACTCTATTACCAAACCAGTCAAAATCATCTCTATTTCTGTAATATATCTTCCACTCTATCAAATAAGATCAAGAAACCACGAATACGACTAAAAAACATCGGAATACATACAGCCTCTCCTCACTTAGCTACAGACTTCTGTTCCTAAAGCAGCATCAATAAACGAATTCATTGCTAAACAAGGAACATACTGTAATGGAAGTGGGTTTGTCAACCATCTTTGTTATTGCTTTAATTTCACCTTTGCATCATTTATAACATTTTTAGCATGTTTAAACAGTCGTGCACTGTATATTGTAATAAACAGAATAGAGGAAATCAGCTCTTATATACACTATTTAGGTATGCATACTTGTCAGAGAGCCTGTCGTAAATCCGAGTTGTCAGTAACAAGTACGTTACTAAGTGAGGAGAGGCTATATACACCACAAAGTTGCTATTTTAATCCAAAAACACGGTTGCAATTTTTTTTCTCATTATGCACTGCGTGCTGCAGGACTTGTTATATATAGTGCATACTTACCACATAGATGCATTCTCTCATATCTAGGCCCAAATTTACTGCTCACAGCTTATCTGAGTGAATTGAGCTCATGGCATAAAACTACGCCTTGGACCCTGGCTTCAAAGCTGTAGAACTTCGAGACAGACCCTCAAAGGGTTAAAACACTTGAAAGTTTGGAAAATTTCCAGACATAATGGAAAGACGTGGTGCTCATGGAGAATGTAAACAAACCGGGTGGCCCTCAGTGACCATATTAGAA